CTGGGATTACAGGCTTGCACAACCATGCCCTGCTAATGTTGTATTTTTAGTAGAGATGGGGTTTCTCCATGTTGTCAGGAGTTCTCCATGTTGTCAGGGTGCTCTTGAACTCCCAACTTAAGGTGATCTGCCCGCCTTGGCCTCCCAAAGTGCTGAGATTAGAGGCGTGAGCCACCGCACATAGCCAATTTCTCATAGCTATGGTAGTTGTAGCAATCTTATTTTTTTTTCTTTTTTTTCTTTTTTTTTTTTGATACAGAGTCTCGCTCTATTGCCCAGGCTGGAGTGCAGTGGCACAATCTCAGTTCACTGCAACCTCCACCACCCAGGCTCAAGCGATTCTCCTACGTCAGCCTCCCAAGCAGCTGGGATTACAGGTACCCACCACCACACCCAGCTAATTTTTAAATTTTTATTAGAGACAGGATTTCACCATGTTGGCTAGGCTGGTCTCGAACACCTCAGGTTATCCGCCTGCCTTGGCCTCCCAAAATGCTGGGATTACAGGAATGAAACACTGTGCTTGGCCAGCAAACTTACATTTTAGCGCAGTGCCTAGTAAATAACAAACATAGTAATTTATTTAATATATATTAAATTACAATAGTAGCTGGTATTATTTCATAAAACACTTCAAAAGGGCCTAGGCCTAGGAAATACAGCCCAAACTCTGCTTATTCAATGAGCAGGATAAGGTTATTCAATTAGTTCACTATCAAATTGAGACATCAATGTGCCTATCAATGTTTTGAGGGTTTGGGGAAGAGTCAATTAAACAAGCATTTAGCTGGCCATGATGGCACATGCCTATAATCCCAGCAACTTGGGAGGCTGAGAGGCAGGAAGATCACTTGGGACCAAGAATTTGAGAACAGTGTGGGCAACAGAGTTGCTGTCTCAACTTACAAAAAAGAAATCAGTTAGTAGGAATTACACCTTCATATAAGTTGGTGAAGTGGACATAAGCAAGAGTAAACGGAACAGTGGGAATAAGCATAGTTAGAAGGAACAATGGAAATTAGTAGCTAACATTGAGAACATTTAAAAAGAGAAAGGAGGGCGAGGTGCAGTGGCTCACACGTGTAATCCTAGCGCTTTGGGAGGCTGAGGTGGGCGGATCACGCGATCAGGAGATCGAGACCATCCTGGCTAACACGGTGAAACCTTGTCTCTACAAAAAATTAGCCGGGCCTGGTGGCACATGCCTGTAGTCCCAGCTACTTGAGAGGCTGAGGCAGGAGAATCGCTTGAACCTGGTAGGCAGAGGTTGCAGTGGCCAAGATCACGCTGCTGCATTCCAGCCTGGGCAACAGAAAGAGACTCCGTCTCAAAATTTAAAAAAAGAAATACAAAAATTAGCCAGGCGTGGTGGCAGGAGCCTGTAATCCCAGCTACTCGGGAGGCTGAGGCAGGAGAATCGCTTGAACCCGGGAGATGGAGGTTGCAGTG